GATAAGTGGCAAAGGGATCATAACTATATTCTCTACCATTATTAGACTACAAAACACGTATTTGACAACCAAACTGAGTTTTGATTTATTTACGAAATATGCGAAATATGGAAGGCAATTCAAAGCTGGCTTTTTAACAAAAATAATCAATGTCATACGGGAATAATCATCCATAAATGACACAAAATATATGAATTTATTTGATAGACATTCTTTAATGGACCCAGACATCAGAGTGAATCACCTCAAAGGCACTCAAGACACGATTATTTAGTCGAGGCATAAAAGTCCCATGGTGATGCGTATTGAACTGGCAGGCTTCACAAGATATAGAGGATATAGAACTTAGACTAAGAATTTGATGCTTCAAAGTGGAAAGAGATGGATGACCAAGACAACAATACCATTGAAAAGGAGATAACAAGGATTGAAAGACTTTAAAAGATGGTTTGAAATCGAAGTAATAAAGACCACCCGCTTAATGCCCCGTACCAATCTTCTTTTTTGTCTTTTGATCCTAAAACACACAAGACAAAGGATAAAAAGGGATAAAACAATTAAGAGACTTAGTAATTTTGCTCATAGACATCAAACTAAAAGAAATTTTGGGAACAAACAAAACTGAGGTCAAAGACATTGGGGGACTCAACTGATTGTTCCCCAAACCAGACACCTGAGATGAAGAACCATTAACAAGAGTTGCACTTTGACAAGCACTTTGACAAAGAGTAACAGGCTGATAAGCAGCCAAATGAACCAGTCATATGATCAAATGCACCAAAATCTATAATCCAAGGATTGTATATGGAAGACAATAAACACGTAGAAGTAGCCAGAGAGGAAGACAGAGTTGCCTTTTTCTGAGACATGAGCCGAGCATATTCCTCTGGCGAGATGGTAATCCACTCTGAGTTGATAGGTGCAAAACCGAACGATGATGCATGCGATTGGGGAGCACTTAAGTGAGATGTAGAGAAGTGAAGATCAGGTTTAGAAGACATTTCAATCAAAAAATAAAATAAAATAATCAACAACGATCATGAGATTAACCCTCAAGAAATGAGCTAAAGCAAAACCAAATCAAGCTAAACCAACAAGCAGAAGCCCGCACTAGGCCACACAAATGCTAAACCGAAAGAAAACAACCTCAAAAGTGATGAACCAATGTTGAATCAGCCTAAAACTGGACTTGGTTAGATGAAAAACCAATTGTACCCGTCAAAAACTAGGTTGTAACCCACTGAACCAGGCTCAAATTTGAATGAGAACCACTGAACCGACCACAAATCTAATGGAGAACCACTGAACCGGCCTCAAATATGAAAGAAAACCATTGAACAGGCCTCGAATCTGAAGTAAACTCACTGAACTATAGTTGTTAAATCGTGTATCGGAAGGCATATCATTTTTAAAAAATAATGTATCGTATCGTATATCGTAAGATACGCGCATTGTAAAAAAATCATACATTTATAATAACCTTAATATTACACTCATAATAAAAAAAAAATCATACACTCATAATAGCATAACATTTTATTAATATTCCACCAAGTATTAAAGTTCCATAGTTCAGTAATATCAAAATGCAAAGACCTCTAATTCAAACATCTAACATCAACTGCTTGAATAACCTTAATATTACTCAGGAATTTTAAATTCAATTAAATAACGTTTACAACAAATTTTATTTCTTTTTTTTAAACCATAACCACTGAAATGATGTTATTTCACTGATTAGTGATTAAAAAATAAATCATAGGATAAAACGATGTCATTTCAACTCTAAAAAATCAAAAATAAAAAAACAGAATCGTCATATATCGTATATATCGAACATATCATATCATGTATCATACGATACAGTGCAAAAACGATACAGACACACGATACGTATCATTTTTCAGATGTATCGTAATATATCGTACGATACTAGTAACGATGCACTAAACCGAGATGAAATCCAATAGAAACCTAGTGAACTAGGATGAAATCCACTATAAAACCATTTAACCAGGCTAAAATCCACTATAAAACCATTGACCCGGCCTGAAATTTTAAAGAAGATTACTAAAACGGATTAAAACAAAAGGATGACTGAATTGGCCTTGTATTGCCCTAATTTGTGGACTTGGGTCATGAGGTTTTAACGTTTAACTAAGTCGGGTCAAATCTCTTATAACCTGATTCACGAAGTAAGCTGGGTCATGGAGCCTTTCTTCTTCTATCAGGTCACTGTAGCGCTGTAAATGCTAGACCAACTATAGAACGATGACGCCAAGGAGTTCTAACAGAGGCGAAGGAGTGACTGGTCCACAAAACCAATAACAAAGCTGTTTGATTTCTTCCTAACCCAAAAAACAATTTCACTGCTACACACCAACCAGTGTTATTTAAGGCGTAAAGCGAACCGAAGCGACCAAGGCTCCTAACGCCTAGGCGAGAAGCGAGAAGCGAAGCGACACGCTTTACCGAAGCAAAGCGAACAGTTAAAAAAAATATATATTTTAGTTTAATTACTTCTAAACAATCTAAGTTCTAATTTTATATATACTAAATATTTAAATGCAAGTAAAACCATAAACATTTAAATTAAAAAAAATACTAATAATATCTCAAATCTTAATAACAGTCATAACTTAAACATTTAAATTCAAACAAATACTAACAATTGTATACATTTTCATATTGACAGGGTAGGACAACAAAAGAAGCAGAATCAGGACAACAGCAGAATTAGCAACAAAAAAAAAGAAGTAGAATGAGGATAAAAAAAAATAAAAGCAACACAGGACAGCAAAACCGAAGCAGCAACAGAATCAACAAAAAAAATAGAAGCAGAATGAGTTAAAAAAAAAAACAGAAGCACAATGATCATGACAGGAGCAGAATCAATTGTAAACAATTTCATATGTAATTATATATTGAATAAAAAAAGCAGAACAGAGGCACATTTCACATGTACTAAAATAATTAAACATGGTATAAGCATAGACCACTTTTTGGTACCATTTGTATATATATAAGAATAGGAAAAAGTATAACCAAGACATATCAGAGACACTTATTTGTAGAAGAATCTATTATTTACCCCCATTTCTGATACTCATGCTTCTTTTTTTTATCATAATTGTCGTGCAGTGCAGTCGCCTGACTCCCACATTCCACAAATATTCTAAATGAATTCAGCAACACAAGGAAAAAAAAGGAATGTATTTTGTTCGAAACATTGTTTATTAAAAAAAAAAAATAGACCAGCAATAGTCTAAAAAAAAAGTCATTAGTGATTAAAAAATAAAAGACACTACTAACCTGTAATCAGAAAAAAAAAAAAAAAAAAAAAAAAAAGTTGAAGCAGAATCGCTTTTTATAATAAAGCGTTCGCTTTTTCGCTTTTTTCGCTTCTTCGCTTTTTCGCTTTTTCTCGTTTTTTTCTCGCTTCACTCACGTTCGCTTCGCCTGGGGTCCTCCAGGCGAGATAAGCTCGCCTCGCCTCGCTTCTCGCCTAGGCGAGCGCCTAGGCGAGCTTTTCAAAACACTGACACCAACGATGACACATAGATCACAGTAATGGCAAGATATGATTCTGAACACGACCACAGCACCCATTTAATCACAAACTGATTTCGAACTTGAATCACAATCACAGCTCACAGCACCGTGACACTAAGCCTCGACAATGGCAACAACAATCAGAGACTCCAACATTAATAGTATTCAACAATCAACAACACTAAACCAGCCATTAACGTCGTGCCTCTGTAATAACTTTCTAGTCAACTTTCTCAGAGCAAAACATGCTGCGGCTAATAGCAATTAATTGCTTTGGTTCAGGACACACAAACCAATATCTAACAAGGAACCAGCAAGGGAAAAGAGGGAAACAAAATAACAGACAAGTAAAAAAGGAACAACAAAAAGAATCTATTTAGATTCAAGTTCGGATCAGATGTGGCTCTGATACCATGTTAAGTTTGGGGTTACTTGTTAAGGAGAAAGATGAATGGAGAAATTATGTGAAAGGAGGTAGAGAAATTGTTACCTAACCACTCACTCTCAACTCATTTATATGTCTCCAATAAACATAAAAGACGAGTGAGTATACACATGCATGTTACACTTATTACAACATATAAAATAAACATAAATAATAATACTCTAAACAAAAGCAAAACCTATTAACTACAGATGTATCACCACATCATGTTGTGTGGAGTACACATACAATCTTTTTCTCTATACAATGCACAATTCATCAAATACGAATATTAGTTATTCTAACGATAAAATGACTATTTTTCAAAGTTACGGCCCACAGCATTATCGAAAAAAGTTTTTGCTTCACAATGATCATCAACTTGTGATCACAATAAAGGACGATGGCACCAGAAACACTCTTCATAGGATCTCAGGTATCTCTATTCTCTCTCTCCTTCCTACTCTCTCCCTCTCTGCTCCTCTCCTTCTCTCTCCTCCTGCAAGAGTCATTGTCAAGAATTCATCGAATAGTTTAGAGGTAGGTCAGTTGGGTTCTGTAGTGTCAATCAAGATAAGATTCGGTACCATATTAGAATCGAGAGAGAGAGAGAAACGGAGAAAGAGATGCTCCAATGCTCACCGATATGCATATCTAGTCAACATTCAATTCCAAATCCTAACCCTCAAACTACAAACAATTCGTACACAAATTATCCGAATAAGTTGAATTCAGAACCCTGACTCCTTTTGGCTGATTGAATTCAGATGATATTCCAAATTTTTCCAAGAGGGGAGCAGGAGTGGGAGGAGGGGAGTAAAGAGGGAGAGAGAGGGAAAAGTGACGGATAAAAAACTTTGATCTACGGGCCAGATAATAAGTCTAGAAGTTGGAAAACTTATGATTTGATCCTCAACTTCTAACCATGATATAAGTTAAGCTAATCAATGACCACCACATTCCTCAATTTCTAGCCAGGGAATTATCATGAAGGAAAACATGTCAATCAACAATAGAGAAATGCTTACCCAAAAATCCCAGCCGATGTGTTCAGCAACTTTCTTGTCCCAAGGAGCAACGTGCCAAGAAAAATGAAGTTTCCACAGAAAACATCCATCAATGTCTACGATGCAATGGCAAACCCGTTTCAATACAAACAATACAAAATCCAAATAGATCAGAACCAATAACATAAACCTCATACACTACCAAAAAAACAAGTGCAACCTTTTCACAGCTCCACAGAACTGAATCAAAGCCCACAGACGAACTCAATCTCTGTTCAATTCCACTCAAAAGCAATATCCTGTCTTGGGTAGCTAAGGCTTGTTAAATATTGTTTACGTCACAAATAAATCAGTGGAAAATAATTTTCAAACAACAAAAACTAGATCAAATGGATACAAGCATCCAAAAGAAGATACATGAAAGCAACTTTCCAAAAGAAGCCCTGCAAAAGAGATTAGTGCGACAATAATGAAGTCAGATTTCTGTACTGTCCAATACAATATCAATGGAGGTTGCTTATAACAAAATGAAATAAGAAAGTCCAATGCCACAACCCATATTGGAAAAAATTAGACTAAACTCAAGGAGTCAAGTTAACCTGCATAGTGAGTGATGAAAACTAAAAAATAAATTTCATCTATTAGAAATGTGACACTAAAATAAAGTAACATTTATTCAGCCTATATATGTTGAACCTTAACGTACCCAATATCTAATAGATGAAATTTATTTTTCAGTTTTCATTGCTAACCCTTTTAGCCAACATAATTATGCATACAATACAAATGGGAGAAAAAAAAACCAACAACTTCGCACTACCTCAAAGTTCAGAGCCTCTCCAGACAACACGTTGAAGAACAAATGTCTATATGCCTTTGCCTTGTGCAAAATCAAATCAATCAGAACAATCTACAACATATTAGAACAGCAATTTAAATAGCTTCAAAAAAAAAAAAATCAAAACTTGACAGAGAAAAAAAAATCAATGATTTTGAAACTTTTATTACCATGATCTCACATTCGATGTATTCGTCCGCAACAGCTTTGCAATTATCCTAGAATAAAAATATATATCTTTTATCACTAAACTGAAAGCGGAGAAATTGAAATATGAATTCTCAAGAGATGGAAATTAAAAGAGAAACGAAAACCCTTACGCATTTCATTAGCCGGATATTCCCCGGAGAGTATTGTATGTACAGGGTTTTGTTCGGAAACCCACATTGAATGCATCGGAATTCCATTTGCTTCACTGCAAATATACCAACTAAACCAGAAGGCAGTTGAAGATGAAGCTATACAGATAGTGTTGAAGACAGGATGTTACCAACATGTTGTTCCCTCAATATTTCCGCCAATAGATTCTATAGAGAACTCTCAAGCCAACCCAAAACTCAGCGTGGCACTGATTGAACTCGTCTTAAGACTGAGCTGAAAAAAAGAGAGATTGAACTAAAAGAAATAAATTCGTGAGAAAGAAGCACTACCTGAACCACCCTCTACGATCCTATTCAACCAAATGGAAACCCGCCAAAGAATTGAACCATTTCCATGGTTCAGCCCAATTCAAAACTCAATCGTCACACAATGGGTGAGAACGAAGAATTGTAATCAAACAGAGAGACGTGTGGGTGAATCTGTGCCGGTGGTTGGGTTTATAGAGCGGCTGAGGGAGTGTTCGCGTGGCGAAAGGGAGTAGTGGAAGCAAAGGGGAGAGAATCGGAAAGGTCAGGAGGAAGAGAGGATAGATTGAATTTTTCGGCCGGTTAGGGGCAAGATCTCTGCCAGAGAGAGAGAGAGAGAGAACAGCCGGGGCGGGACGGTAGTTTTGTTGGGCTCCCACCAATTTTATAAGAATCTAAACATCCTCCAATTCAGTTTTAATAACTCAGAGCAATAAGGGAGGTTTTATTTTGGGTCAAATCACTTATTTATAATTTTGAATAATATTTTGATATTTTTGAATTATAAATTTGTTTCAATAACAGATGTCATTTTTATATTTTTATTCATCAATTTATACGAATAATTGAATTTATATGAATCGTTGATTTATATTCATCTAACGGATTTATATTCATCTAACGGATTTATATTCATCAACTCATTTGTAACATCTTTCTTTCTTTCTCCAGAATTGCCAAAAATGTTACTCCAAGAGTCTTGATGTTATTTTCCAACCCTTAATGTCACCCCCTTGTAGTAAAAATTTTTAAATTTGGGTTGGCATATTGGGTTATCACCCTTGATGCCACTTCCCCTTGGAGTTGCTCTTACACACACGCACACACACATATATATAAAGTATAATATAATTTAAATTTTAAAAATAAATAAAATAATTTTTTCTTTTCGAGGTTGAAATTTTTTAAAATTTTATTTAAAAATTAATCCAACGATTAATATTCATACTTCAAATTTAATAGAAAAATAGGTCAAGATGTGATTGAGATGACTTTTTAAAAATACTTCTATTACTTATAACTTCTCATAAGTACTTTAAAAAAAATAATAGTATTTGAAATCACCACACCACCACCACCACTACCATCACCACCCCCACCAACATCAACACTACCACTACCACCACCATCTCCACTGCCCCATCCTACCCCCACCACCATTAACACTACCACTATCGTCGCCACACCACCACCGTCGTCGCAGCCCCACCACCACCACCATCACCCTCATCGCCCCACCACCACCACCATCACCCTCATCGCCCCACCACCACCATTACTGCTGTCGCCAGCCTATCACCACCACCACTATCCAACCATCACTCCAACCACCACCCGACTGCCACCACTACTATCACTATCCAACCATCACTTCTACCCACTACTGTCACTTTCCAACCACCACACCACTACCACCACCACCATTGCCACCACCGCTATTGTCCGATTATCACCTCTACCACCACCCTCTGCCACACCACCGCCCCCCATCACCATCACCATCGTCGTCACCCCCCACTATCACCCCACCTCATTGCTCCACTGCCACCACTATCGTCATTTTATTCTTATATTTATTACTACTACCACTATCATCCCACTACCACAGTTGCCCACCATCAACACTCATCACCACCCACTACCGCAACCCACCATAACTCGTCGTCGCCCATTATTATCGTCAACCACTATTACCCACCCCCCACAACACCTACCACCACTATCATCACCGTCATTCATCACTACTCATCACACTATCACTTAAAAGCACTTGTCGTTCCCCGTCGCCGCCGCCACCGTCGTATCCCCTACCACCGCCACTGCCGTCCACCCCCAATACCACCGTTCACCCTCATTATAATCGGTACTTAAATTCATTTTTCTCTCCTCTATGTTTGTGATTTAATTTTTGGTGTGAATATAAATATGTTTATCGTAGACCTTTTTTTTATTACTCTATGCCTTCAAATAGGAGCAATAACTAGTATATTAATATAATCTTATATTTACAAACTTTTTTACCAAATTTTTTATTCCAAGTGATGTGACACAATCTTTATTATTGAATATTAATAAGACTCACTTATTTCATGGTAAAAATTGTGTCACATTACTTGAAATGAATAGCTTGATAAGAACTCTTGGTTAGCATAACATTGTTGTTAATATATTTAGCAAATTCAAAAAGTTCTCTAAATTTTAAAACATATTAAATTTATAGATAAATATAAATCTTAAAGATTTAATATTGAATTAAAAAATTCTCCAATTCTTGTGAAATTACAGAGGATCTAAATTGTGGAAATGGGTTTCAGTGGTGGGAAGCGAGTGTTTTGGAGATGGAGGAACGGAAAAATATTTGATGCAACGGTGATATATGTTAGCATTGTCATATGGTATCACTATCCAAATATATGTTTTCAAATAAATAAATAGATCTCATACAAATTATTAACTATCCCTCTATGTAATACAATCACTATCTACTTTCATTCCATAAAAGTCAACTAGTTATTGCTCGTGCCTGAAGGCACGAAGTAATAAAAAAAATTGTCAATCATAAATATATTTGTATTCACACCCAAAATTAAATCATAAACATAAAGGGGATAGAAAAGAATTTAAACATTAGTGGTAACAAGGGTGAATGATGGTAGTGGTGGTGGACGACGATGGTGATGGTGGAAGACAGTGATGGTTGTGGTGGGTGGCGACGACCATGGTGGTGGTGGTAACGATGACGATGGTGGTAGGTTTTGGGTGACGATGACGATGGTGGTGGTGGGTGTGGGTGGTGGTGGGCGACAATGATGGTGGTTGGCAGTGGTAGTGGTGGGATGATGATGATGGTGGTGGTGGCGATAGTGGGTTGTGTTGGTAGGCAGTGATGATAATGGTGATGGTGACAACAATGATGGTGGTGGTAGATTTTGGGTGACGATGGTGGTAGTGGCAGTCATGGGTGACGACGATGGTAGTGGTGGGTGTGGGTGGTGGTAGGCGACAATGATGGTGGTTGGCAGTGGTAGTGGTGGGGTGATGACGATGGTGGGGGTGGCGATGGCGGGTTGTGTCGGTGGGCAGCGACGATGGTGGTGGTGGGCGACGATAGGTGCTTGTGGGCGACGGTGGTGGAAGTGGGTGATAACGGGTGTAATGGTAGGTGCGGTGGGGGTGGGTGACAATGGAAGGCGACGGAGGTAAGTGACGACGAGTAGTGGTGAGTTGTGGTAGTGGATAGTGGTAAGCAACAATAGTAGTGGTGGTGGCGGGATGATGGTGATAGTGGTAATAAATAAAAAAATGAGATGATAATGATAGTGGTGGGTAGTGGTGGTGGGCGGCGATGGTTGTTATGAGACTCAATCATGCATTGCATACATATTAACATAGTTATGTGGACTAATTGCAATTATGTGAAATTATTTATTAGATAGAATTTTGTATATAAAAATAGTATTGGGTTGATTTTGAAATCACTTAAGAATTTGGGGGAGGCAAGCATAATTATTAAAGTTGCATGAGATAACTTTACATGTGTTAACATATGAACAAGGGTGGTCATTTTTAAGTGCAAAGAGTGTGTGTGTTTGATAAGGTGTAGAAAATGTGTGTGTGTGTGTGTGTGTTTTGATTTGTTGAAACCATGAGTGAGGGAGAGTAAAAGAGAGGAAGAAGAAAGATAAAAAAAAAAAAAAAAAAAAGTACTTGGGGGACTCCATGCCAAACCAAAAGTGAGAGAAAATAAGAAGAAGGTGAAGGTAAGAGTGTGGGTATGTGTGATTAAAATTTAAGCATGTGTGTTATGGGTGGGTTGTTTTATTTTAATTTAATGGGCTGCTTTATTTTAATTTAAAAACAAATTTTGTGTGGTTTTATTTAAGTGTGTTGAACATAATTTAGGGGTTTTTTAAATGGGTATTCAATTGGATGTGAAAAAATGTGAAAAATGAATATTTGGATGCTTCTGGGGCTAGTTTGATATTGAGGTTTTTGGGTGTGGAATGGAGAGTTTAGGGGTTCAATTAGAGGGGCTATTTTGTATGATTTAATGAGTGTGTGAGTTTAAGTGTGATTGATTTAAAAGAAACATACGATAGAAATGGGAAATGAATGTTGGTAATGCCGAAACCCTGATTTTTAAATATTATTATCACTTGTATGAATTTTAATCCAAATGATCCAAAATTTTACATGCTGCATTTTAATTGATGTTTGATGAGATAATGTAAATTTCAAATGCAAATGAATATAATATCTAGCACGAAATGCTGAAAGTATAGTTTTTGGCATTCGAGGTCGAAATGTGTGAAAAAGGACCCCCGATCATTGTGTTTAACCTACTTATTATTAATTGTGATTATTTTGAGTGATTTTGAAGATTTGAGGAAGAAAAGTGATCCCTAAATCTAAATGTGTCAGTATGTGAGTGAACAGTGCGGTAATCGGGGCACTTTGGGTTGAATCATCTTACATGCATTAGTACATGATTAATTATTCAATGTGATAATATATGTTGATATTGTAATTACAAATGTGTTAGGTGGAACAGGTAGGATAATTGGTTTAGAGACAAATACGGAAACATCGAAGGGATCCACTGATAGGTCCAAAGGCTCATAGCTCAGTACACTTGAGGTGGGTGTATATCTTTATATGTTTTGAAAATGATATTATAAGATGATATTAGATGATAAAATTTAATAGTATTTCTCCAGGATTATATGTTGTGTGCTTATGTGATTGAATGATACTTTGTACTGCATATTGTGTATTGTGTA